GCTTTACGAAGCGTTAAATTCGCACGTGATTGACTCTCTCGATATCGGCCATTTGATGTGCGATAATTTGCAATAGGATGCAAACAATGCATCATGTACACTATTGAATCGCGCAATTCTCGTCGGTCGGAGGCATGGTATTTGGAAAAATCGTTCCCCTGTCGCTGTGTAAAACAACAAAAGGATAAACTTTCGAGGTGTCCTAAATTCTCTACGCGTTTCCGCCTCTCGATTGCCATCGCTCGATTATACGATAATATATGGTGAGCCGTGTGTAATGGAGCGCTCTCCGCGAGCAAGTGTAAAATTTTCATGAATGGCGCTGTACCGTGGCAAAGAAATGTTCCCCGAATCCATTTTGCGGATGTAATAACCTTGGCACGACTTCCGACGTGATCTTTATTTACGTCCTGAGGAATACCGAGTCTTGCACTTACCACAATTCAAATCCTGATAAGAATTGTGTGGGAACCAGCCATAAGAAGCTTCAGTTCCCATATGTAAGGGTCTGGAATTAATGTTCTCCATGCGAGACTCCTCTGTGCACGTGTGTGTACGGGTACGTACATGTATGCGTGTGTACGCTCGGGTTTTATCGACGAAACTATTTACATAGTCCCTCGCAGTCAAAGATAATTCGTCGCTCAACTGTTTGTACACGCGTTTCAGTCTCGTTCTATGATACGTAATTAAGTAATTATTTAGAGTTTCGGAAAATCAATTCTAATGATCATAACGTTAACATATGTTGTTGAGGTCATCCTCTTGAATAACCTTCAAAAGTTTTAGCCATCGCTCATTGTTTATTAAAAAGTTATTAGCAAAAAAAGTTTCATAAATAGAGCCTATCTTTTCAACATAGTGTACGTTTTTCAGAAAATATTAAACAGTACATATGAGCGGATGGAGAGGCGGAAAGACCCCTTTTCCAAAAAAACTAACCTAATCTAACCTAATCTAACCTCATTTACACATCTTTTCATATGGTTGGACGTTATTGAAAAAGTCTCCTTAAACTTACGACACCTAACCATATATAAAGATGTAGGTATAAGTTGGGTTATGTTAGGTCAATTTTTTCCGAGGAAATGCAGGGGGAGGGACTGATATGTTTAACATTTTTTTTTAATGTATACTGTGTCGTAAAAATAGGCTCTATGTACGAGACTTATTTTGTCAATCACTTTTTAATAAACAATGAACGGTAATGAAACAATGGCTACAACCTACGATAAGTTACTTAGAAAGATGACCTCAACAACATACGTCAAGGTCGAAGTGATTGGAGCTGCTCCAATCCCTTTCCCTTAAACTAAACAATTACACGTAATTATATCAATTATCTCACTTGATTATTGGATTCCGCGATATACGAGTAAATATATCTTTCGCTCTCGCTCTGCCGCCTATCGCGGTTAAAGCGCTATCTCCCTTATATTTTTCTTTGATAATCGATAAACTGGAGACGATACCGTTATGTAAAAATAGGGGGATTTTTTATATTCTCATTTTCATGGAAAAGAATATAATGAGGTCTTTGATGTCACAGTAATAAGTGGACATAGTGGTTCGACTCCTTTTTCGGTACTTCTGTGGTTGGATAACAGTGGGAATATTTAAGATAGTGTTCTCTCGACTCCTTTTTGCGCGGCTGCATTCAGAATCCACGGTCCATATTCATGGGAGACGATACTTTATTCGTCGATGGGGGTTTCCACGATGATCGTAGCTAGCTGAAATTCATTCCCTAGGGTAAAATCATGCGAATCGCGACGTCCGGACGCGTCAGCGATTCCTTTCTTTCGTTTCATGCTCGCTCTGCACCGTAAAACCGCCCGATCTTCTACAAGGAACGCGAAATAAAATGCGCCGTGGGACCGTAACTGCAGAATTCCGTGCGAATGGTCGCGTATGAAACTTAAAAAGGTCTCGCCTAGTGGAAGATAAAACGTTATTGTTAAGCCGCAGCTTGAACGTGGACGAGGAACGTATGAAGATGTCTGGACATCAACCAGTTTTAATCGGGAGGTGACCAGAACCTCTTATCTTTCCAACTTTAGATTTTATTCTCCCGTATTTCAACAAGCGAGTCGGGATCGTTTATTGATTAATCAGGATAAAATATTCTCACGTGATCGCAGAAAGTTACGAAGAGAATCTGTCGTTTATTCATGATATGTAAAATCGAATTTCTGGTCTCGTCCAAAAATATACAAGGCTGCGAAAAATTCATTTGCACACGTCTCAACTCCGACCACCTTGGTTGTTCCCTATTCGGTCCGTCTACGCAATATATAATGAAGAACACTTTACATTTTGATTCTTGCGCTCTGTATTATGCTCAGAGGAATTCGTGCGATATGTCGGCAAAGTCTCAAGTTATATAAATTTATCCCGTTTATCCGCTTCGCTATTCATGAATTCAATTATCCGCTATATTTCTCAAGGATATACGGATGCCGTATGTTTAACAATTTTACAATTTGGTTTATGTCGCGGCGCTTTCATTACGTCGCTGGCAAAGACGGAACGATGCCACGCAGATAATGAGAATTTCTCGAAAGCGCCGGGAAGAAACCAGTGCGTGCATTTTTCATCGTTTCGTCAAGAGATACGAACAAGACGCCGTCAGTTGTAAAGAAATGTACTCGTACTTGATACTTCGTGATTTCAGAGAGATTGAGCGTATTGATAAAGACAGAAGGATTTCGAAGAACTGAGAATGTAAGAATATTATTTTCGCGGAGGTATATGGAAATTATTACGACGTAATGTCGTAGGTACGCGAGGTGATCCGCGCGTAATTAGTCATTATTACTTTCACACAGTCCTCCGGAATAACATTGCTTCGACGAACCAAGATATAATTTACCGCGGATTTGGTCGGTGCGAAGAAGTGTCTGAAAATGTGGACGTTATCATCCTTCGTTATCGCGCTCGGCCGATTTATGCGGCGTGAATGTTCGTGTCTTGGTTATACATAGTATTTTTTTTCTTGCCCTGTGAACGCTTGCGGACTCGCATCGTGGCGTTTAAATTCGCATTCTTGTACCTTTGTTCCGACTTTCGTGGGCGGTGTCGCAATGTAAATGCGTGAGCGGAATGCAAAGTTTGTCTGCCCTGCGGCGAAAGCGCGCGTAAGGGGGTGCACGAATGCTAACGACACGAGGGCGAGGTGCAACGAGCTAGTTCTTTACGGTCGTTGATGAAATTCGGATGATGAAAATAGAATTTTACGTTAATTTTATCGCTCAGAGTATCGCGAATGCCAATGTATTATCTCTCGATTGAAACCAGAAATCGAATTAGGAGGAACCTTTATTCAATGCCAAGATGTTCCTTTCAAGCCGTTGGAGACGGAAACTTTTCATTTAATTCCAACTCGCAGATACGTCTTCACAAAAGTTCTTCATAAAAGTTTATTTAGAAATCTGATAATCGCAACAATTAATGTTATAAATAACGAGAAAATAGAAGATAAAATCGAGACTTGCATGCAACATTTGCTGACTGTTGAGAAACTGATAAGTGCGTTGTCCGACACAAATAAATAAATGTGCAAATTGGATCCACATCAGCAAACAGTAATTAATGCCGTCACAAATTTTGACGTAGGTAGTTCAGCATCGTTCCTTCGTACGGTCATTGATTGACGAAGGGTTACCATTACACTTGTTCGGCTTTAAGCTGCTTCAGCCTCACGGTATCTTACTTCCCGAGATGTCGATAAGTGTCGATAAACTCCCGCCGCAATATGAAACTTTAGCCCAAGTATCAGGTCCTCGATGTATCGATGTAGCTATTTACAAATCCCGAATACTTCGCTAATCTCTGGATTAATCCATTGAATTTATCCTTATTATCTGTTAATCTATGAATTATTAGAGAATGAATTTTAAATACCGATACCCGACTGGCTAAGAATTACATTTTTTATATCATTCTTCGGACTTGTACGCGTTTTAAAGAATAACGGGGAAATCTATTCGCTTCTCAAATGCATACTAAATATCGCATAAATATAAATAAGATTACACGAATAAATATTGATCTCTAAAACATCGTGAAGTTTAAATGCGATACAACGGGAAATTAAATATAACTGTGCTATGAATGCAACAGATATAAGTCAATATTCAACTTACTAACGTCAGCAATAAAATTGTTGGAAAATTATTAAATTTTACAAACTATAAATTCGCAACTCGGTTTCGTTATTTGCGACATAATAGAATGCATGAACAGACGGAGAGGAGAGAGAGAGAGAGAGAGAGAGAGAGAGTAAGAAATTAAGAGAGAATGAGATAGAGAGAGATAGAGAGACAGGAAGAGAGCGGAATTAAAGCTGAACAAAAAGAGAAAATAAGGCAAACACAGAAGAAAAGCCGTAATAAAAACCGGTAGTCTAAAAAAAGAAAGAAAGACAAAAGGAGTGATTTATTCAAGAAAGATAAACTGCAAGACCTAATGGTAGAGAGGAGTGGAGAAAAGAGTGAAAAAGTGAGATGTACTGGGGAAAAGAGACAGACACAGCAAGCGACGAAGAAGTAAGGAAAGAGAATGTGAGCAAGATAGAGACTAGAGAGAGCTAGAGGCGAAAACTGCGAGGAAGAGACAGAGGAAGAGAGAACACGAACTTATATATTCGCGAAAAGTAGTCCAGAACTTTGGATCAGGGAAGCTATAGGAACGATAGGGTAGGTAGGTAGATGGGGTAGGTCTGGGCTCGCAGTCCTAAGAAGATAAATGTTCCTCAAGTACCGACAAAGAGAAAGATAGACAGAGAGGGAAAGAGAGATAAAGGATACAAGAGAAACAAACAGCAAGGGAGAGAGAGAGAGAGAGAGAGAGAGAGAGAGAGAGAGAGAGAGAGAGAGAGAGAGAAAGAGAGAGAGAGGAGGGTAGGGAGGGAAGGAGTGAGAGAGAGAGAGAGAGAGAGAGAGAGAGAGAGTGAGTGAGAGTGGGAAGGAGGGAGGGAGGGAAAGGGAAAGAGAGAGTGAGAGAAAGAAAGAGAAAGAGAGAGATAGACTTTCCTGCGTTATCCCGCTCCCATTTCTTGTATTTTTCCCGAAGCGAGGCGATGCGACGTCGACGGGACGAGGAAAATCGTACCGACTGACTCGCGCGACTTCTGACTGACTCCTGATTGTAATTGGGCAGGGCTGGTAAGTGGCGGTTACCACGAGAAGCGGCTGCTGAACGACCTGCTGGACGCGTACAACGTGCTGGAGCGGCCGGTGGGCAACGAGTCCGATCCCCTCGTGCTGAGCTTCGGCCTCACGCTCATGCAAATAATCGACGTCGTAAGTGTGCTCAACTATTTTCCTCAGCTAGCTTCACCCAGATCGCTGTCGCGCCAATTCTCTCACGGGCCTTCGGCGTTCAGCTTTCAGAGACTCGTCACGCGCGTGTGTCCCTTATAGATAGATATATTTAACCTAATTCTTCTTTTTTCCCTCTATTATCATGTTTGCTCGATATTTTCACCGATGCGATGCGTATCGGGGATTTTAATTAGCCGCTTGACGACGAGTCAGAGTAATTCTGAGCTGAAATTTGCTTAAATGATACGTCGCGAATAAAAAGAGAAGGAAGGGAAGACTTGATGTTTCCTTCATTCAAGAAAAAGAGCAATTATATCTAACGCAATTTTTTCGAAACAGCGGTTTTACAGCCCGAAATCATGTTCCTATCGCAATTAGAAATTACTAAATTCATTCTAGGTTGCTTTACATGAATAAGAAATTTCATCGTTGCCGTAACGAGAAAGCTTAGAACATTGCTTCGGTAATTACACTGCATCTCCTCGTTCTCGTAGGACCTGTTGAGAAATAACGTGGTTCATTAAATATGCATCCTGTACATGACAGTCTTACGCAGATACACGTCAGCCTGCTGACGTGCACGCGCGTACGTTCTCCGAAACAACATGTTCACGTTAGTAAGTGACGTCTGAGTGAACAAGGTGCAGTCACCGATATCGCGCAATTCGCGAACATTTGCGTGCAGCTGTAACACATCGCACCCAGCAGTGGGCAAAAGTGCCTGCGAATTCCAAAGTTGCGGCCCCGAGTTGGCGGCAAATGAATCGCGCTCACCGATCAACGTCGCGGATCGGCGCTCGGCGTTTGCTCGAGAAAGTTCTGTAGATGCTATCAATTAAAGTAAATAGCGTTGAAGATCGTCTCCCAGAAAATAGTCAGACTCGATCACTCGTGATAATAACACAATTACATTACACGGTCACTGGGAGATTTATTTAATCATAAGTAGTAGAGATGAGCGAACTATTCGAATTCGCATCGAATCGAATCTAATATAATTCGATTCGATTCGAATCCGAATAATATGAATAGGAATCAAATACATTATCGTTTCGAGCGTGCATCAGCTACAAAACGGGCCATCTGGGCGTGTATGTTTGAACCCTTAACTTGTAATTAACTTAACTTATAATTAATAACTTAATTATAAATTACTTTAAATATTTAAATACGTATTTTACTTGAAGATGATATTACAATATCAATATTCCCTTTCATATTAAAATCTTTCATCATTATTTGCATGTTTAATGGTCATGTTAAATTTTTTAATGATTCGATTCGATTTCATTCGCTTCGATTCGAATTCGAATGAAATTTTATAGATTCGATTCGATTTGAATTCGAATTTAAAAAATGAGATTCGATTCGATTCGATTCTATTCGACATAAAAATTCTTGATTCGCACATTTCTAATAAGTAGAAACACGCCCGTTTCTCCGTTAAATCTTCTCTCTACCGAAAATTATGTTTTTATAATTGGTCGCTGAAATAAAGACGAGCAATTTCACAAGGTTTTATGTAGCGCACGTCACGGATGTCGCAATATATCCGTAACATACCGCGAAATTATCAGCCTATTTTTCTCGCGTTGCTTCTCTCACACGTTTCATCGTTATACAGATATACACAGCTGTTCAACGAGCGCTTAGTTCGCTAATACAGGACGAATCACTATCCCTTTCGTTAATCTCTCCATTTCCGGGCTCTGCGCTGATTCGTGGTGGCGAGGGGTCAAACGACCAAGTTAAAGCACGACTTCCCCCCGAAGAGGCAACACGACTCAGTCCCATCTCGTGCGCGAAACAGGAAGCTTTTAATTTCCGAAATCCGTATTGTCGGCTGGCGCCGTGTCGGCCAGTTTCCATATACCGCCTCTCTGGGCTATCGTCCCCCTTTTCGGTCGCGAAGAGGCAATATCGTCGGTTTCGCGGTGCACGCGTGGCCCCGAATATAAATAGCGTGTGTACGTATACGTGCGAGAGCGTACACCAGCTATCCACGCGTCTTGTACCGCTGTTTATCTCTGACGTTACACCGCGCAATTTTCGACACAGCGCCGGGGGATGCGCGATGAGTTCTCATGAGGCAAGGATATCGAGTGTGAGACTTTGCAGAAATGCATCATGCGAACGCGCCACGGTGATCACGCTCGTCGGATCTAGTAATTAGGTTCCGGCACGGACTACGTTGTAACTATTTGTTACGCAAAATTCCAAGAATTATTTTATTACTGAGAGACGAGAACCGTTCTTTCAGGGAAATTCTTTTTTGTTTACCTGTCTCGATAATATTCGCGCGTAATTATTAGCGAGTTTGCAGAATAATTTATTGACACTTTTAACTGTGTCTATTTTATTCATATAACAACGAAATAAAATATATCGTTTTCCGCCGGCATTTTTTGCCAGCTTTCACGCGATTGTCTGATAACATGTCTGAAATTTATTTTCTTTTTCGCAAACCCTTAACGTTTATCGGGTCGCGCCGAAGTCGCGCTGATTATATCCTGCCCTTTGACCAGCGCATCACGCCGTCCATCTTGCGTTATCGATACAATTTTTCGCAGTTATTAGCAACCGTTTCGAGTCGCCGCACGTTTGAGCGCCTCGACAGCATGGCGTGGCAATTATTAAAATACGTAACGTCCTTATGTGATTCAAGAGACACCCGCATCGTGGAATACCAAGTAGCGCAAGACTCCAATAACTTCGGTGCATCCGTGATACGAGAATGAAAGATATTTATCTTCCGTTGCTTCTGGAACTTTCGTTAGTGACGGAGAGAAAATTAACGGCATGTCAAAGTATCTCAGCGCGATTAATTCGACGTCAATATTAATTTATCGTGCAGTCGCATATATTATCCGTTATAGTATCTGTAACAATCGGGGCATCTGATATATAGAGCGTGCGTCACTCATATGTATCGAATTTGTAGGTCAAACTAAACGTGTGTTTACATGTAAATTGTCGCACGTGCGTGTCTAACTGCTGAAAATCAGTCGTCGTTCGTCTTGCATCGTATTTAGTAATTTCCGAAAGACAGGTGTTTATACAAATTTCCCACATTAGTCAACAAGATTATTTAACATTTGTTCGCATCGTCAGGAAAGCTATAATCAGCCTCGTACTCCTGTCAATATCTCTCACTTTACTCCAAGTTCAAGTACAATAACTTTTTAACACATTCTTTCCTTTCTTCACTCTTTCAAAAGTAATCTAGTTTTTAATCCAACCAACTTTAGCCCGGCTCAGTTTTGGTGTTCAAGTTTTCAGTTTAAGTTATTTTAATTTGATTTTAACGTAACTTACATAAGTCGTCTGTATGGTCGACTTGCAAAAAGTTTGATAACGCAGCAGCATCCATAACGCAGAAATTAGGGAAGTCATCGCAAATCTCGGTACTTCTCTTTTGACGTTCTTACACCCACGAGAAAGAAAAACAGAAGATAGTCTCGCGAAAGGGATCATTAAATCGCAGTTTAAATTCAAAGTTATCGAGATCGCCTGCCTACAAAATCAGCTCGTATATTCATGTTGCACGTACCGCATCTAGATTGTACGTCGCTGCATGCACGTTGCTGCCATCTGCACCCCGTGCACACTCATGCACACGTGTCACTGTCTATCGCTTCTGCGCGTTCCGACATTCGTATATACCGTCGCGATCGCCGCGTACACCTATAAAGCCCGGCCGAATGAAAAATGGATGCGCGAGATTGCAACTTATTCGGCATACCCGACCGAGTTGCCCCTCGAGCGCAGTACACACACACAACATACATACATATACACGTACACATATACGCTGAGATAAGTATTCGGCGCGTAATGCGTGACCTAATGACCCGTTTATGAAATGTAGGTTCATTTCGTGCGGGTCTGCGGCCAGTGTTGAGGTACAGAGCGTCTTAAGCATCTCATTGTTGGTGAGTAGGTCTTATAACAAAATTCCGTTGAGAATAAAATCCGCTCGAAATTGAGCGAGGAATGAGATTCTATCCCGTAACTGCTCGCCTCAAGCTATACTTGTGTACAGAAAGATCTCCACAGATATTCCCCTCAAGTCGCGATGCGTATCCATTTTTTTTTTGCGATATATTTAAGGAAGCATCTTCAAAAGAGATATACTCGGAAAAATATTTGAATCTTTATAAACATCGTGATATCCCTGAATACTGTATCTAGTTTATGATGTATATGTTTGAAAGAGATACGCTAGCTTTTTTACGATGGAAAAATACTTCACATCCCGCAGATGCACGTTCATACCGCGCGCGCGGCAACGGTATACCTCGGCTTTATTTTCAAACAATCAATAAGATCGTTTTAATGTCATTGCACAGTGCATTAAGCGCGCGGCGCGTTATTCTACACGCGTCCATCCTTCTCTAATCTGTAAAGTAGGAAGAGACACGACGATCTATTTTTTTTCACAAAGATTGAGATCTCTCGCGCGCGCACATCATCGGGTGTAAAAACATTACCATCGATAGATAAAAACGCGCGTAAAAAACGTGAACATAGAGCGGCGGCTATGGAGATTTCATTTATCGGAATCATTTCCAAGAGAATATGGGCAGATTAGATTTTTCAAATACCTCGTATTTCGTGCATATGATACAATATCTATTACAAAATATCCCCTTTCAACACTTAGGTTACACTTAGGAATAATCATTATTATTCTACCATCCATATCATTATGCATAAAATAATGATTCATATTCAACATAATGAAAATATCCATAATTCTATATCAGTTACTACTTGAGATATTTATTGGTACAGGGTGTATATCAACATATAGATCAGTATGACGGGTTGCTTACCTATTCGGATGATAATGCAGAGGTTGCTGAAAAAGTCACTCGTTGATAATGATATTTATAGTGCTCCCAGTTATAACAAGTGCAACTAACTTTGCATTGTGATCGTTAAGACAATTTATCGACTGTTTATGACAGGAGTCGAGC